AAAAAAAAAAAAAAAAAAAAAAAGAAGAAAAAGAAAAAGAAGAAGAAAGCTAAGCTAAGCTACTAATGCAACATGCCTTAAAATTGATTGAATGACCCTCAATACCTTTCAGCATGAGCAGACAATTGAACGTCAAGATCAGGTAAACAATCAACAGTTACGGGTTGGCACATTCAATGGGACAGGCATTTAATTGATGAAAACGATTACTAGTTCATTTTACTTCGTCACAATATGTATTTTTAAATATATGCTTTTTTTTTATAATATATAAATGATAATTTGAAAATTTTTTTCTAATAAGTAATTCTTATTAAGTAATTTCATTTTATAAAAATATGTCATGTTGTTCTCACTTGGAAGGGAAGATCAATTTGCATGGTGAGTTTAACCCTGCAGACTTGATTCCAAGGGAGAAGCCACCATTAGTGGCGGAACAAGCACATAGTTTGAGGTGAGGCCTAATGGTTTCCGAATTAGGGTTTTTTTCCTTCTATTTTTTTTTTAAATAGCGAACTAGGTATGGTAATAATCGAATCATTATATCTTTATAATTTTTTGGTTCTATAAATGAAATTATTGATTTGATATGTATTGATATAAGCATATTGATTTGATATGTATTGATATAATCATATTGATTTATATTATTGAATTTAGTATTTTATAGTCTGAACCAATTATTGAATAAAAGGGCACTCCTTGTTATTAAGGGTTTTTTTTATTCTAATGATTTACATTTTAGACTCTAAAATAATTTTTTAATATATTAATACACACTAATAATCACCAAAGGTACTTATAAACTAGGCATTCATCAATTATTCAAAGGTCATACATTATTAAAATAAAACTTAACAATTAACACTTATACATTAATCCTTAATATTTAAAGTTGTTTATACCTAATTTTGTAACAAATAGAATGATGCCACATGTTATACATATTAGTAGGTATTGAAAAGCTATTTTGTTGATGTAGACCTCTTTCGGATAAAGTTCAATGATTGTTTCCACAACATCAATGAAATCGTTTGCTTGTTGCAAATTTTAAGAAGCATAATCGATCGACAACACTAACAGGTTAATCAATTTGTTGTAGATTTCATGCCGTCATTAGTTTTTAAGATGCTACTGCATATCTCCAGCATGCTATCAAAGGGTGTTTATCACTATAAATATGCAAAAGAGAAACCAAACAAGACGGACATGCCTCTCATATAATAAGCTCAATACTATCTCCTTTAATGCTTAAGTTCATCTTAGTTTCAAACCCTTTAGTTTAATTTTAGCTTTAAACTTCAACCTAAATTAGTCTTCAATTTTAGTTTAATGTCTTTTACTTTAGATACCCTAAAAATTAGTTGAAGTTCTCTGAGGAAGCAATTCAGTTCCCCCTTTATTGGTTTTGTAATTATAAGATTCATTGCCTTTAGTGATATTTCTTTATAATCGGATTGCTTTCTTTCCTTTATTATTTTCCTAGTTTCTTTTAATTTAATCAAGTGATGTTGATATTTAATTTCATGTTTTGTTTTGTTTATGTTGATTTATATTTTATGCTACTAGTAAATTTTCTATGTTTCCAATTTCACTTACTTTCACTTAATTTATTTTCCAGCTCTGGTTTCATCTTTCTAGATTTGATTTGGCAAAGGTTT